ACGGCCCTGCTATGCCAGCGCTCACACAGAGCAGCAGCAGCAGCAGCAGCAGCACAATCAGTGAGTTCCCCTTTACAGCCGATGAGTTTAGCAACACCAGCCACCTGCTGTCCCTTCAAACCCTACAAAACCTTGCTCATCAGTTCCTGTAGGAGTGTCAACAGTATAGTGGGTTTTTTTCAGGATTTTGGTTTCAGATGTCTTGGTGTGAGAGGGGTTTGTTCTAACTGGAGGGGAGAAGGGCAGGGGAATTCACACACAGTTTGAAGCGCGTGCATTTCTTGCCTTTGTAGCTGAGATAAACCAAGATTCCTCATTACAAGTATGTGCCTGGCTATATGTTATTTTCCATAACGTATCCAGGTTTGGTATAAAGGAATCACAAAGACTGATACCACAGCATTTTGTGAGTGATAAAACTTTCATGCAGCCTAAGTGTGTGTGTGTGTACTGGGGGGAAACCAAGAAAATCAAACACAAAACCCCACTAGCTAATGCTTAAGTAACAAATGCCACCAAGTGCCCATTTTCTGAACAACTCTTTTCAGATGAACTAAAGTGAAATGTTCTTTACAACTCTAATCCTCAGGAAACAAACCCACCAAAGCTTCTGATTTGCTGCTATTTATCCCCTGGCAGAGTCGTTATCAGCTGGCTAGATTACAGCCTGCAGTAGATACTGCCTAAATACNAGAACAAGTGTGGCAGCAACTTCCTTATTCGTCCAGCCTGTCCAGAAGGTGTTCTGAAGGAACCAAAGGACTATCCAGTTCCAGAGTGGAGCTGGGAGATCAAACATGTGAGGAAGAGCGTGCCCAGTCGTGGGGGGTGGTGGCCACAATTGATCTGTGCTGTTTCACTGTCTGAAATGAGTCCTGTGTTATCAAACTAGCTACCTGAGGCATTAAAAAAGTCACAAGTCAGGCTACCAGAAGGCAAAGAGAATATGTACAGATTACAGATTGTTCATGGAAAAACAAACAGTTCCAGTTGGTTTTATTTTCTTCTGATTTTGAGACCTTCAAATACATTTGGATGGCATTTCACATAGCTTTTCTTTCTGTGATGACTAAAAAATTTTCTTGGTCAGGTGATAACAACGTAATTGAAATCTCCTGTAACTATTCGAGTGCAGGTATTTAGACTTCTAAAAAAACTACATTGTAAGAACATTCCTCACCACCTGGGGTAACGGCTGGTGAAGAGTAGACGACAGGGGTACTTGTTCCCATACTGATCGGTTTTGCTGCCTCTCTGTTTTGCTTTGTTGCAACAATCACTGTGGATAGAGATATTTTTCTCTTCTAGTATCTCCTTTATTTAAAAATTTCCTCAAGCCTCCCCCCACGGCCCTGCTATGCCAGCGCTCACACAGAGCAGCAGCAGCAGCAGCAGCAGCAGCACAATCAGTGAGTTCCCCTTTACAGCCGATGAGTTTAGCAACACCAGCCACCTGCTGTCCCTTCAAACCCAACAAAACCTTGCTCATCAGTTCCTGTAGGAGTGTCAACAGTATAGTGGGTTTTTTTCAGGATTTTGGTTTCAGATGTCTTGGTGTGAGAGGGGTTTGTTCTAACTGGAGGGGAGAAGGGCAGGGGAATTCACACACAGTTTGAAGCGCGTGCATTTCTTGCCTTTGTAGCTGAGATAAACTAAGATTCCTCATTACAAGTATGTGCCTGGCTAGATGTTATTTTCCATAATGTATCCAGGTTTGGTATAAAGGAATCACAAAGACTGATACCACAGCATTTTGTGAGTGATAAAACTTTCATAACAGCCTAAGTGTGTGTGTGTGTACTGGGGGGAAACCAAGAAAATCAAACACAAAACCCCACTAGCTAATGCTTAAGTAACAAATGCCACCAAGTGCCCATTTTCTGAACAACTCTTTTCAGATGAACTAAAGTGAAATGTTCTTTACAACTCTAATCCTCAGGAAACAAACCCACCAAAGCTTCTGATTTGCTGCTATTTATCCCCTGGCAGAGTCGTTATCAGCTGGCTAGATTACAGCCTGCAGTAGATANGTGTGTGTGTGTACTGGGGGGAAACCAAGAAAATCAAACACAAAACCCCACTAGCTAATGCTTAAGTAACAAATGCCACCAAGTGCCCATTTTCTGAACAACTCTTTTCAGATGAACTAAAGTGAAATGTTCTTTACAACTCTAATCCTCAGGAAACAAACCCACCAAAGCTTCTGATTTGCTGCTATTTATCCCCTGGCAGAGTCGTTATCAGCTGGCTAGATTACAGCCTGCAGTAGATACTGCCTAAATACTGAGAAAAAAATTGAAGTTAGTGATAAACTTCAAGTGCTTCAAAAATCACTCAAAGAAGCTCTTGCAATAAATGGTAGACATCACAGGAATTTTGGTCAATCACATGATTGAGGTTTACTGGTGTTATTTCTGTCACTGCTGCCTCAAGCCTCAAGCTGCCAGTTGTTTGAACAAGGGAAATAGAAAAGAGTTACCTGCTCTAGGTTTTGTGATGTCTTATTTTACAACATTGTATATAACTGTTCGTATGGTATCTACTTGGTAACTTTATTCTGATAATACATGGGGAAGGCTGTAGGACGACTAAAGACTGAAAGTTTGTAAAACAGATTGACTAAATATACTTAAAATAAGAAATAGCACTTTCAGAGCATAAGAAATATTTTAAAACCTGTTTGTCTTTCATATTCCTTTGTTTTACTCTTGGCCATACACCTCTGATGTCAGGTTTGGAATAAATCGAAATCCACTCAGGAAGTCTGCTAGAAGCACTAAATTTCTGCAAGATTCAGCTGTACTTCATAGCAGGTAAGGTATCAAAGCAACCAGAGTAGTGTTACATCTCCTGTTCTCTGACAGCAGGAATGAAGTGGCAGAGGTAAATATATACTTGAAAGAAAATTATTTTTAAGAAGGGCAAAGCCCCAAAGTTGCAATTCTAAGTTTAAGTAGGGTGAAGTACCTCTGTCATGTCCTTATTTTTAACCATAAAAGGGTAAGAAAGTTTAAAATATGAAATCTTACTACAGTTATTTATTGTGGGCTTTTAATTTATCTACATATTAAATACAAAAATAAGGTACCAATATTTTGTTGAAGCATGTAATTAAAGTGCATATAGTAGCCATTTTCAATGTCAAGTGGTACAACCATATCAAAGGCAGCTCAAGCAGTTACTTTCCTTCCTTCTCTTTTCAATTATTACATTTTATGGGGTTTTGCTTCTTCCTGGAGTAGCAAAAATCCTGGTTTCTCTTTTGTTTAAATGTTAATCTGTTAATGAAACAATGAATCAAGATAAAAATACCGTGTCCCTCTTGCTTTTAAAGAAGACCAGTTGCATTTTATTTGCAGAGGATAGGGAAACATCTCCGGGACCATTTAAAATTCATGCTTGATTACAAATTTTTAAGATAATTTTCCTTTCTATTTTTTAAAATTTAAATTGCAGGTAGCACATCTGACTCAGTGTCTGTTGTTTTAAAAGGCTCCTTAGTAAATAGAAGTGTACAGTTTGCTCCCATACGTGCCTCATTTCCAGATTTTCTCCTCTATATCCCACTCCCCCAGGCTTCAGAGTACCCATCTCCATGGCAACACTCGATAAGGTTGGTGGGTGGTGTTATCACAGCAGGCTTCCCCACAGAAGGTCTCAGCCATATGGATTATTTATGAACTTGCATGACAGCACCAGACCCACTGAAATACTTCCTGAGCAAGTTTTCTTGTCTCTGAAAGCCAGTGATTCAAAACAGAGCCTCCTCACTATGGCCAGCGCCCGTGAGGAGAGAGTGGAGGCAAAGTAGGAGGAAGGTGGTCCCTGTTCCCTCCTCAAAGCTTTCTTGCTGCTGCCTGCAAGCTTCCCTTGCCCCAGCTGAGCACCTAATGACATACACCATAAATCATAAGTGCTATATGTGTCAGTCAGTGAAACTGGAAACAGTGAAACTTGTGCTTCTGACAAGAATAATAACCATGACTAAATGGTTGCTACAGCTGGTGCTGTTGTCAGGAGTTGCTGTTGCAGATACACTGCAGTAGTTCGGTGACTCCGAGTTAGTCCCTGGAATAAAACGGCAGTTTGGCTTTGCCACTTTATTTTCTTCACCTGATTTTTTTTTTATCCTAAAGTTTCATTATATTTTATAGCTAAGGCTGTTGCATTTACACTGTATGCATGCAAATAGCACATACAATTTTTCGGAAAGAATTGCTATAAAAGCTGCCTAGTTCTTTAAAATCATAGAGGGCACTTTTTTTTTTTGAGCAAAAGATATAGGGTTATAAAGGCCTGTCATATGCAATCCTTTCATTTAATAATTTTTATTAATTTACCAAGCTCCATCTTACAGTGAGAAAGACACATTATTCTAGGAAAGAAAAAAAGTGTTATAGTTCTCAAATAGGCATTTTTGTGTTTTTAACATAGTGAGTACTCAAGATTTAATGTCTATGATGTATCATCCTAGTTATCTGTGCATTTATAATGTCTACAGATGAACAATTTAATTGGTTGCAATAGGCTTTCCTTATGATCAACAAGAAGTAGGAAATGTTGAGGCACAATTAATAGACCCATTATCAAAATCTGCTTAAAGGATATAATAACCACTCTAAGAAGCATAAACACCAGTAAGAATTCACATAGTAATTGAGCCAGGTTTTTGGAGAGGAGTGGTTCAGATGCTGCAAGGAGAGTTTCAGATCAGTCAGTGAAGGTGTTACCACTTTTATCCCACTCTTCCTTCTTCACCACATTCAATCTATCCCTAATTAAGGTAAAATGCTCCAGATTTGAAAAGCTGAAGCATTTACAATGCTGCAGGTGACTCATTCTGAGTGAACTTGGTTAGTGCAGTTATGACAATCAATTGGAGGAGGCAGTAAAAAACAATATCTGGTCTTGAGATGGAGGGGAAATTTGAAAAATAAGAAGAACTCAGAGAAGAAGGAAGCCAAAATCACAGAATATAGGAACCACATTAAAAATACTACCTTGACAGAAGCTTTGTCACTTGTCTTCCTTGGATACAAATTTGTAGCTGCAGACTGGGAGAGAATACCGAGATATTTAAGGTATTGCTGAAGAGACTTGGCCAAGTTCACATCATTTTCCCCATCATAATTTCTTTCATTATCTGCATTCTGTCCAAAAATCCTGCACAGCAAAAGCAAGCAAGACAACGTTACCAGCTCATCCAAAGTACAAACTGGCCAATTAAAAAGCCACTGCAAACCATGACGTTAGTCCAATACTTAACAAAAAAAGTCACTCAAAAGCTTGTCAACCACAAAACTATAGAAGGTTCAGTGTTTCAGCAAAAATAGTCAAAAAATCTTGTGCTATTAACAATTTATGTAATGAATCAAAGCTAATGATTCCACAGTAAATCAAATAAAATGCCACATCAAGGCAAAGATACATTGAGAAGAAAAGAAAACGTTTGTAAAAAGAAAACATGCATGAATAAATTGCACCCCAAAGAAATATAAGATGGTTTTAAGATTTTTAAAAAAATTGCTGGATGATGAGATTCAACATCAATTTGGCCCTGTACCGATTTACAGAATACAAGAAGACTATTGGCTGTGCAGAAATAACAGAGCAAGTCAGTTCCAGCAAAGGGCTTGAAAGGAGAATAATGAGATGGAACAAGCATTTCTTCTGATCTTCTCATGTGCCTGGGATTCACAGGACAGTGGTATTTCCAGAGCGGTTTAGATAGATCTTGGTGCCGTTTGCAAAGGAAGGCTAAAAGTGTGATTAGATGATGGTGGTGCAGAGGTTTTTATATGGGATTCAGAATGCTGTGTGCCATGAATCTGAATTATTACCAGCTGTCCTCATCTATCTCAACAACATGTCAATGATGATGATTATTTAAATGTCAGCATCAGTAACTATTTCATTCCTTGTGCAAGAAAGCAGAGAGAGTGTTCCCAGCTCACTTCCTCCCCTGTGAGTGATGCTTTGTTTTGAGGGAAATCACCTTTTTGGTGTCACCATTTCCTGCTCACATGCCCCCACACTTCTTCAGTGAAGAACAATTCCAGGTGGAAAGGCTTTCCAGCTCAGTGAAGGAATTTGACTTTCAACATCTCTCTGTCACTGTAAATAAAATTTTATTTAACCAGCCCACGCCGTGGTGTTTATGTAGGGGCACAGCCTGAGAGAGCACCATTATATCATTTTCCAAATCTTGGGTTTAATTACATTACTTTATGCACAAAGTAACAGACTTTTTTCCATACTCACAATTGTATCGAATGTGTGTCCCTACTAATTTAATGCCAATACATGTAATTAATAATCTAATTTACTGTGGTGGCTTTGCAACCAACAGTGCTAACAGGGTTGCTCCCAGAAATAGCAGAAAACCCTCTACTTCCCCCAGTGTAAAACAAGCAGGTTCCCACCAGGCACAGAAACTCTTGGAAAAAAAAGGGTTACAGCACAGCACTGCAGCAAACTTGATGAATTTATTGTAAGTCTTTCTTCCTTCTTATGCTATTTGCATTTTTCTCTTATTCCAGGGCTCTAAATTCTGCCTTGTGATGGAGGGTGGACATGCAGGTAGCATTATCCACCTCCTTTTCAGCTTAAAGCCAGACTAAAACTATTCTGCAGTTCTAGAAAGAGCTGGGCAGTATTGCTTTCTGCTTCAGTAGAGATGAACTAATCCGAAGAGCCTCTCTTCATAGAAGGGATCCCACTTTCCAACACTCATCTTTCATTCATTGATTAATTCCAACACCTATCTTCTCTTTTCTTGACTAACTTTGAAAAGAAAGGGAAAATGAAAAAACCAGACTGACTTCTGCCCCAAGGATTTCCACTGGAGCTAATGGGAACTGAATGCACAAAATACAGCATTTAGGCTGGATTTTCCAAACATTATTTACAGTCTATCATCACTGTCACTGGTGGTGAAAGCAAAATCTAAGGTCTAAGTTTTCTCATTTTTCTTCCAGAGACAGTAATTGCACTCTTGTTTACATTTCCCATTAGATATCATACTTTATGCTATAAACTTTTAAACAATTAAAATGTAAAAGACTGCAAAGCTTTGCATATCATTTGATGACAACTTTAATAAGATCCTATGAATACATATGAAAGATTTGAAAAAATTTTTGTAGTTCACCTTGTTAATGCAGAAATGAAAATGCATTAAGTGAGCTATTATTGCGAGTGAATTAAAATATTTCTTTTAAATTTGACAGAATGATATTGGAAAATGGATGAAAGACAAATACATAAAAGCACTTGGTGAGTAGGAGAAATGACAGCTGAGTTCTTGTTGTGCGCTTATTTGGAATTATTTTCAGTTTTGATTTGTTCTGAAAAATGACTTCACATACAATGAACTTTAGAGTAAAAAGACAATACCATATATAATTATTTATCCACAGAAATAACTATGTATTTCCTACAAAACTCAGCACTTTGGAAGCTTTTGTGTGGAAATATCTAAATTACTGCACCTCAGCTATTTCTAGAACGTTCACCATTAACAGATACCACATTTTTTAGAATAAATTTCTCCCTTTTAAGTGCTGAGAGAATCTTATTACTGGCTTAATGATGGTTTTATTATAGAAATAATGCTATACCCCATTTGATACATTGAAGTTTGCTGGAAACATTTGTGGTTTTGCCTAATTGCACCAATGAACACAACTGACATTTATTCCCTGAGTGCAGAATGGACTTTTTTCCTTTATCTTGAATACTCTTTCAAGAGAGGGTTTTTTGAAATTTAATAAGGACCCAGGAAATACCACGTACACTCCAGTTAGCCAACAAAGAAAGAACTTTCATCTTGAAATCAAACTCCCAGTTTCAGCATTTTTTTTTGAGATGAAATCCATGTCTTCTGTTTCATCAGATTTCATATGCACTAATTTAGCCTAAGTCAATTTACCTTTCAAGTGTCTGAGTCTATTTTCTTGCTCTCACCAGCTCTGTGGGGATTAATGACTCATTAGTATGACTTCATATTGTCTTATTATACACGTTACCCTTAATAAAAGGTCTTCCTGCCATAATGTTTCTTTGATAATTAGGTACCTACACTAAGTTGCTTTTTAAATTATTTAATTATTATCTCATAAGATTTTAGCAATCACACTGAGCACACCAAACATATATAACACACTTGATCAGAATCTACAAGAGACTAAATTTCCTACTGTTCTCTGACCTACAGAATACTTCGCAAATGGACAACCAGAAAAATCAATTAATGCTTTAAACTGTTGGCACATAAGATAATGCTTTCAGAAGCACAGCTTGGTAAGTGCAGAAAATCTATCCACACTAGAAAGCGCTATATGTGAGCACATTTGAAATTCTGATGTTCCTGAACTGTCAATACACAAAATGGATTATTTTTTAACATATAGTTCTAGTTAAAAATGCAAAAGGTCTCAAACCTGATCACAACAGGAACTCCTAAAAGTTTTCAATCTGAAACCTAAATAATTTCTTATATCTGCTTATACTTTTTATTTTACATAACTATAAATCTGGAACACTGCTGAATACAGTCTTGGACTCATGGAAATCTGGCCTGTTTTGTCTTACTCTCGTGAATGAAAGCTTTAGGTTCACTAATTCTAAAAAAATATCTCCCAGAAGATACTGAAAATCATTTCTGATACCATGCACAGAGATCAACCCATTCAGTAATGGCCTTGTGTGCCATTTCTAAGCAGTGAAAATGTTTACAGGTTCAAACACGTGTTGTTATGATCTTTGCGATAATCTACAGATCACTATCTTCTTTAAAAGTTAAGTTTCCACTTTACTCCACTTCTGAAATGTATGGTGCTGTGATTTTAAGGAATGCTTTTGAATCAGCAAACACGTGAAATACAGGGTCGAATACTGAGTTAAAAATCAAAACAAAGTGAGGCAAACACAGTCGAAGCCACTGGGCAATATCAATTATGCAGCATTTTTATTTCCATAAGAGGGCAATATAGAAAAGAAATGGTTCTGCAGTACATGTAAACCACATCCTGCAGTACATGAAGATCTGAAGTCCAACATTCACTATCTTACCCATCAAGGCTAAAAGCACTTCTTTTCAATTTCACTACTTTTGAGATTGCAGTTCTTAAAACCATGCAAGAGAAAGCAAAATTTGTCATTTTTATGGTCCTAAAATTTCCTTCTGGGGTTTGTGTGGTTGTGTTGCACTTAAAAGCCTGTAGGATAGAACAGACCAGGTAAAAGAGTATTTTTATATGTGTAACTGTGTATGAAGATGGTATAACTACAGGTTCTACAACCATATGATTTTACAGAATTACAGATGTGTCTCTTGCAACTGATAACTACAAAGTCATCCCTCAATACCTTTTAAGCCATATCCCAACACTATTTTCTGTCATGGGAACTTGCATGAATCTCTCCTTCCTGGACAAATTTTACAACTACCACTGGGAATCTACGGACATCAGATCAATTATAGCTGTGTTTTGGAAGAATATGACTTTGAAAATATAATTAGTTGCTCAGAATGTCACTCAATACTTAGTCCAGAATAAAATGTCTCCTGTGGATGAGCTACTGTATAAGTCTGCCTTTTTCAGCCAGTCGTAAGTAGAGATGGCTGAATTGACACTAGAAAATGCATAAATTGAGTGAAAGGTCTGATGTTTTGAATTGACACCTTAATTAATGATAGAAAGTGTATTTTCTGAACTTGATGATAATCAGAAAAACAAGGTTCAGGGTTTTAATTCATTCTGTCCAATGAACATTCAGTGTGCTGTATGACTATTTCCCCCTTATATAAATAGTGGTTTTGGTGAGGTTTTTAATTCCACTTCTGTTCCAATTTGTTCCTTATCGTTTGGAAACTCTTCCAAAACCCTACCAGGCAAAAACACCATAGAAGACTCACCTTCCTGTGTCAGATCCTTCAGATGCAAATACATCAGGGCGTCTGCTGTGGATTTTGTGAATGGCTGAGAGTTCCTGACCAATAACATGCTGTGTATAATCATCTCGCCAGGTAAAACCTGAGAAATAACAAAACAAACAAACAAACAAAAGCAGATACACTCTTTAATAACGTGGAAGTTTGGTAAAAATATATGTAAACAATATTAAAATTAAAAAGAAGCTTTGTTCAAGTGGAACCCAAGAGTGAACTACAGATTCTTCTCTTCCGTGTGAAATTCTGTTAATGAAATCTTGCTCATGAAACCTCCTTGCAATGGGAGGAAGACAGTAAATCATGTGAGGACATTTTAAAAGCCTTTGCTATCTGCAGAATTTTAGCTGGTTGCAAAACAGCCTTAATAGATATAAAAGGGTTCTTTGGGAAAGGTTGCTTCACCTCTTCCCCATTCACAGCAAACTGTCCCTTCCCTGTTTCACCCAGGAAACTATGGGTTTAGAACATTAAGGAGCTAATACTCCCATTTTACTACAACACACATGGATGTCAATGTAAGTTATCTTTACATTTAAATTTTGTGACAAAGAACTTTACAACCAGGGGGAAGTGCAACTGTGAAGTCAAATTCCAGTGCTTATGTACACGCACTGTCAATCTCATGGTAATCATACTTGAAATAATGATGTAACTCCAAACATAATTGTTGCCCAATTTGTAGATTTTTAGATGTTACGGTTATCTGTAATTATCTCATAGCTAAATATCATATAATTGAAGAGAATTTCTGCTTTTATGCCACCTGCAGCGAAACACCACAAATCTCTCAAGTGAATATTGATAAAAGTTCCAGATAAAGTTACCCCAGTAATATCTGCCTGTAAGAACCACCTAAAGAACAATCCTCCCAAGCACCTGATGGAAGCAGTTGGATCTGTTTGTTTGAACCAGGAGGGGAAGTTGTTAGAACTTGGAAGGAGGATTTCTGGTTCAGTCCCCTTTCACACACACGTTATAAACTTCCTCCCCATCTACAGACATCAGGATTGTTGGCATGGGCAGTCTCTTTGGACACAGCTAAAGCATCACCAGGCTCAGCAGAAGCCAGAACGTGGCCACCTTGCTCCTTGGATGGGTGCTTTGTCCCGTGGGCTCTTCAGATTTTTCCACAATATTGAGGTGGAATTAATTGCCTGTTTACTAAAGTCCAGAATTAAAAAAGAAGTCTGAGCAGGAGATTTGTCCATTCTGCCAAAGCAGACAGTTCTGAGCATGAAGAAGTAAAAATAATTACTTTAATATTTTACCAATTTTCATTCAGGAAGAGACAAATGGTGTAAGATTAGACAGGCCTAGGAGGTATTCAAACTGTGCTTTTGTATGGGATTTAGACAAGTTTTAGGAAAAGAGGTCCCCATTTGGGCAAGATTTAGGTGGACTGCATCCCAGATTTTTTTTTTTTTTTTTAATTAAAGAAAAAAATAATAATAAAAATTCTGGAAACACTGTAAACATACATGAAGGCTTCAATGAACAAAAGAGCTCTCTGCAGCTTCATTGGTGATGCTTCTTTCTCCTTTTCTTAAATAAAAATGTTACTCAAGTTTATTGAGGAAACACTTTACCTGAAGCCATGAGAGATGTTAATGGCTGCAGTAAATGACTCCAGACCCTTGGGAGGGGGAAGAGTCTCTGCCTCTGTCTAATCTGGTTTTAGTTCTGATTCATCCCTTTCAAATGCAAATCTCACCTTTTCAAACGTGCCATGTAATAAGACGGATTCAAACAGTTTCAAAAATCTAAATCTAAGGCTGCTCAGAACACGTTTTTATGTGAACACACAAAATGAGCCACCATGAACCCATGATTATTTTGGTGCAATTTTAATGTTATTAAATGATTTTTAAAACAAAGTTGAGATATATGTCTATAAAGAGCTATATATATATTATATATATATTCAAGTTTAACTCTGTGTTGCTTATCACTACACATTTCTTTTATAAATTCACGCAGGAGAAAAAATTAAGATAACTTTTCAGTTTAGAAGAATGTGCAACATAAAAAACTTCAGCTAAAATACATATATGCTAAAATCATTAGCATAACCATAAAACTACTAGTTTATTAACTATGTGTCCAAAGTCACTAGTTTCATTTTCTAACTCTAAGCCAATACTAACCCTATTAAAGGCTAAAAAATACACGATAAATAACACAAAATTTGAAAAATAATAAACCTAATTACTCCAAAGAGCTTGGTTTAAAATAAAGCAAGAAGAGTTCAACCATGGTACCTACATACATACAGGAAATTTGTTTCTCTCAGTCTCTGAGCAATTCATGGTTTTATGCCTCAGCAAAACAATGTTTTCAGTAAAAGAGTATAGGAAACAATTGTGATCCCAGTTCTCACTGGTCGTGACAATGATGCGTCTTTTGTTATCTTCAAAATATTTCTTTTTCTTCTGCAGCACAATTTTAGCATTTTACCCTAATGCATTTCAAACCATCCTTAATGCTGTAAAATAATGTAAGTATGGCATTAAAGCAGAGCAAATAGATGAAAGAAAAACAGAATACTTGTTATAGAGCTTAAGAAAGTAGAGTTAAGGGAATGTGCTCTCTCAACTGTATCTCCAGCTCTTCTAACTCACTGAAGAGTTAAAACGTGACACGGATGAAAAAAATATGGATTTTAACTAAATAAAAAATTCCCTCTTCAGGAAGTTAACACTGCTGTTTCTTATGCAACAATCTCAGGAACTGCAGCGTGCCTAAAGCTAACCTTGTGCCAATCATTTTCCAGCATTGTTTCAGTTTCAAAAATATATCTCCCCCACACTGAGCTGAATAAAACAGCACATTGAAGCCCCAGAATGCCGCGCTGACAGCTGCAATCAGAGTTAAGGTTGAGAAGGAGCATATGACGCCGTATGGTGATTTCCTGTTCCCTTTGTCTCTGCCGTCACACCTCGCGCCAGCTCCGGCCTCGCCACCCAATTATTGCAATTTCTGTCCAGTGGCTGAGCAGGATCACAGCAGTGCTCTCGGACACACATTACTTCCATGTCAGTAACGGGGAATGGGATGGGGGGGACTCCCAGCCCCTGTGTAACCATCCCCCCCGTGGCAGGTCTGCCCCGGGACCTGCAGCTCCCAGCCCTGAATTCCCACAGACGGACAATGTCAAGGAAAGAGAGAAGGAGCCTGGTTGACACTGCAATGACGCAAATACTGTGACAGCAACAGCAGCAGATACAAAGTTGCTCTCAGTTGAACATCAGAGGTAGTAGCGGGACCCCAAGAAAAACAGCCATCGGCACAAATTTCCCCTACAAAAAGCAACGCTTTTCACTGGTGTCAGTCCAAGGTTTAATTATTTTTTTATTTCAATTGGAATTCCATAAGCTAAATGCACCTGAAAAGGGAATGCCAGTATAAAGACAGTGAAGGCAAGACATTAATACATTTAGCAAACTCAACCTGCAAAATCAAAACTAATGGAGTCACTCTAGTCACGACTCAGTCTTTCCTTATTAGCATCAGGTATCTCCCCAGATATTTTCTTCCCACAGAATGGTTTATTATTATTATTACCCACAACTACAAAAAGATAATGAAATTACTCTTGTTTAGGTCCCAGTTATGTTCAACATTTACCAATGACTACATCAACAGAGAGTACATGTGTAAGAATTATTTTATTGGTTGAAATCAAATCAAAAGCAAGCAGAGTAAATAGTGAAGAAAACAGTTTCACAGATTCACACTGATAAAGATAATATTAGTTTGTGTCTCCAAAATTAAAGTAAAATTTGTTTTCACACTTATCATACAATTTCACTTAACCTGCTCAATTGGCTTTGCTGCTATAGCAATTACACAGAATTTTTGAAAAATAATGAAAATTTAAATACGCATTTCCTTCTCTCTGCTGTTCGATTTTTCTAAGGAATGGCATTTTTTCAGGTATGTTTTTGACTCTGTTTTCCATTTTAGAGGAACTTGATGTCTCTCCAAATATACCTGACCACATCATTAATGCATGTAAATTGTAATAGCAACAGTTGAAAATATTCATCTGCTACTTTTCTGTCTCAATTTATTTTAGTTCAAAATTATTCATACAAATAATCTTCCCTCCCTCTGAATGTCTAAGCAAGAAAACCAACAGCTTTTTTAACAGTGCAAAGGAGTTTTCAGAAGAGCTCAATTCAAGTCGTTTAAGGAAACAAGAGTTCTCATTGCCTGAAGATCTGGTTGTGCAAATGTTCCTGCTCCTATTCCCAACTCTTTTCCCAGCCAGCTTGGCTGAGGCTGAACCAGGCTCTGCAGGCAAGTCCAGGAGAACCTGTGTCTGGCAGGGTAATGCCATGAGACTCTTTCAGCTCTTGTGCCAATTGAAATCCCAAATTATTAGTTCTGCATCAGTATATTAACAACAATTACTTTTATGGGTCAAGTTCATTCAAAGCCACAGGAGATTATTCTGCATTGGCAGAAACCTATATACTAAAGCTTGGTTCTTCTTTGTCAGGAAAATCCCCATAAAAAAGGCCAAAAAACCTCAGAATTATTGAGGTTTGAAACCAGAACAGGTACTATTTTTGGGCTCTGACACAATTTTTTGGTAATGTTATCCACTTTGTCCCTACATGGTGGATTATAAAATAAGTTTTTCTCTGAGATACCTTCAACTGCTACTTCATTTCAGCCAGGAAACTCTCAGCTGTAGAGCTCAGAGACTTTCATCCCCCATGCCATGTGTTGCAAATTGTTAATGCCTCCTTTAGCTGTCAGAATGTCTGCAGAATTGGGAATGATTGGCTTTCTTCCCTATTTTCACAACAGACAGGTCAACGTATAGACGTGCCTTTCTGCAGGCTGCCTTTCCACATTCTCCAACGGACCTGCACATGTTCTCATTCCAGACCTCCTTTTTCAGAACTCAAGGACATACCCAATAATGTTCATATATGTCAGCTCCAGCTAAGTTAAAATTGCAGCTTTAATGCTGAAGTAGTTGTATGTATAACAGAATTAAGTTGTTCGATTGCTATTGCTGTATTTTCTACTTAAAATTGAAGCCAAAAGATAAAATCCTGGTGTTTCCTCTTA